GTGCCCTGAATCACGAATCGTTTCCCACCCCTCGACGCTGGCGAGCGTCCAGATCCGGGAGCGGGCGGGCGGATCCCCTATCGCGCGCATGGTGCTGAGATTGGTCCGTTTCGGTGCCTTGGGCGGGAGCGCTGGCTCCCAGCGCCGGTTTGTGACGTTCGCGGCGGCTCGACAAAGCAGGGGCGGCACGGCACCACCGAGCCATGAACCTGTCCGCCATCGTCGCCGACATCGCTGCTGAAATGGCCGAGGCGCCCGATCGGGGACGCCCGCCGACTATATCCCCGCGCTGGCCCGTGTCGATCCGCACCGTTTCGGCATGGCGATCGTCGAGGCGGACGGCACCTGCCATCTGGCGGCGATGCCGACATGGCCTTCTCGATCCAGAGCATTTCCAAGGTCTTTCGGTGCTCACGCTGGCGCTGGGCGCGGTCGGCGATCAGCTCTGGCGGCGGTGGGGCGCGAGCCCTCAGGGGACCGCGTTCAACCTCGATCGTCCAGCTAGAGACCGGGCGGGATTCCGCGCAATCCTTCATCAATGCCGGTGCCATCGTTGTCGCCGACATGCTGCTCGGCGGCTATATGAGCTGCGCGAGGCGATCGGCGATGCTGCGCTTCGTTCGCGCGCTGGCGGGCGAGGAGGATATCGCGATCGATGCCGCCGTCGCCCGCGACGAGATGGAGACAGGGCACCACCAATCAGGCGCTGGCGCACTATATGCATGCCTTCGGCGTCTCCATCATCCCGTCGACCGGGTGCTGGGCGTCTATTTCCACTTCTGTGCGCTGGCGATGAGCTGTCGGCAACCGGCGCCGCCGGGCGCTATCTGATGGCGCGGGGCATCAATCCGGGGACGGGCGCTTCGGTCGTGTCACCGCACGCTCGCGGCATCAACGCGCTGATGATGAGTTGCGGCCATTGGCGACGGATCGGGCGAGTTCGCCTTTCGCGTCGGCCTGCCGGGGAAATCGGGGTGGGCGGCGGTATGGTGGCGATCGTGCCGCCCGCCGGGCCTCCCTGATCGCCGTCCGTCGCCGGGCCTCAACGCGCGCGGGATTTCAGCTTGGTACGCTGGCGCTCGAACGGCTGGTGCAGCGGACCGGCTGGTCCGTGTTCGACCCATGCCGGCTGGACTGCGCGCAGCGGTGCGAAGGCGGCTCGGCCACGCACCGACAGGATCAGGTTCAGCGCCACCCCGCGATCGACGCCGCGCCCAGCAGCCGCACGATCCGCTCACCGGTGATCGCGGTGCCGCACCACGACAGCGCCAGCAGCAGCACCGCGCCGCCCAGCAGCTTCAATCCGCCGCGCAGCCGCGCATCGCAGCGTCCCGCCTCGCGCGCATGGCGATAGGAGCCGGCAGCGAGCAGCCAGAAGCCGATGAAGCACAAGACGATCGTATCAAGCATGGGCAGGCTCCGGAAAACGGCGGGTGCGGTTGGGGGCGTGGGGCGAAGGTCGCGCGTTGAGCCAGGCGGCGGCAAAGCCGACACCAATGGCGGCAGGGCGAGATCGAAGGCGACGAACAGGTGATCGCCATCGAGCAGCGAGGGTAGCAACCAGCGCGAGGTGGTCAGCGCATTGACGACGGGGATGGCAGCCCGGTGCCGCAGCGGCGATGGCGAATAGAACCGTCCGTGCGCGCCGTGTAGGCAGGCCGAGCTGTGCCAGCGCGAGGAGTCCCTGTGTCCAGAACATCGCCGACACTTCCGCCTCCAGCTCGGCCGGGCATCTCCGGCGGGGATCAGCCGGTTGGCTGGCAGATAGGCCGCCATGCCCGATGGGAAGGCGGCGATGACCGCGATGTTGAGCCGTTCGGCCAGACGCAGCCCGAAAAAAGGGCGCTGCGCCCGGCTTGCGCCGCTTGGCGGTCCAGAGCAACAGGCCGGTGCCGACCATCGCCGTGCCAGTCAGCCCCATGACGAAATAGGGCCCAGCGCAGCCCCGTGCCCGAACGAGGCCAGATGTAGCCCCAGCATCACGCCCGCCGTTTCGATCGCCGAGGCGGATCGCCGCTCTGGCTGACGAAGCGGCCGGTCGCCCCTTCGTACACGACGGCGGGCGTGCGCGAACTGATCGCACCCTGTTTGGCGAGCGCGCGGAGACGCGCGCGGCGGCGTCGCCGGATCTGGATGATGACCCGCGTGGCGGGATTTTTTCCAGCCGCTGCTCGGCATCGCGGACCGTGGCTGCGATCGCGACCAGCGGACGCCGCGTGCCCGTGGCGGCACGTCGGCGGGCGTGTCATAGGCGGCCTGCATGAACTCGACGGGCTTGGCGTAGTTCATGAATGCCGGCCGTATGTACATGGTCACCAGCGTGATCAGCCCGGTATAGGTGATCATCGCAATGATAGGCAGGGCCGAGCACCGCCGAGACATTGTGCGCCTCGAGCTAACTGCGTTGGCCCTTGTTCCAGCGCAGCGTGAAGAAGTCGGCGAAGATGCGCTTGTGGGTGATCACACCCGAGATGATCGCGCCCAGCATCGCCGGTGGCGCACAGCCCGCTGCCAGCCAGCGGCCCCAGGATAGGGCACCAACAACTGGAAGTGGAAGCGATAGAACAGCTCGCCGCCGCGCGTCTCGCGCGCGCGGAAAGCGGCGCGCTCTGACCGGATCGAGCTGAAGCTCGCCACCGCGCGCCGGGGATCCGGGCTTATGGGATATGAAAAACCCGCGTCGCGATCGTTCGCCCTCGGGCAGATAGATATACCATTGCAGATCGTCCGGGCCGGTCCGCGTCAGATACCGGACCGCCGATGCCGCTGCACGGGCCGGTGTCGCATGGGCCGGGCGGATTTCGGGCTGCATCCACTGGGTGATTTCCGGGTCGGAAAAGGCCGAGGTGCCGGTCAGGAACATGGTGAACAGAATCCACCGGCGATCAGCCCCCCAGCCAGCCATGCGCCCTGTGCCATGGTCTGGCGCAGCCCGCGCTGGCTCTCCGCCACCATGCCGCTCACGCCCGCACACCCAGCCACCAGAGCAGCCCCGCCATCACGATCGAACCGCCCCAGATCCCCGCACTGACCCGGCCCAGCCGGATGTCGCAAGGCCCACAACCTGCCGCGGCATAGATCAGGAAGGACAGGATCATCGGCCATCCGGTCGCCTCGACGCGGGTGGTGGCGTCCGGACGGGGAGCAGCCGCGCGCCAGCATCGCCACCGCGACCGCGAACGCATAGCCGCCAAGGATCGCCGTCAGCCAGCGCCACGTCATGGCCATCGCGCCGCGCCAGCGGGCTGCTCCGACTGCGTTGATGGCTTGGCTTTGCGCCACCCGACCTTTCCCTTGTCATTGTGATAGCGGCGCTTTAGCAGCATTTTGAGAGTCACTATCAATAGCAAGGTTAGGGAATTTATGCGGGGGTTTCGCAACGCTGCTGGCGGCCTGTGTCACGGGCACCGTCCGGGATGGGCCGCGCCGGGCCCGCGATCGCCCTGCCAACGGTCCGAAACGACGAGGATCCTCAGCGGCTGCGCAACGAGGAGAGATCGTGGTCGAGGGCGAACGCGCCAAGAAGAGCGCGGTGTGGGCACCAAGACTGACATTCCGCTGATCGCCACGCCGCAGACGATCATCGCCATCGATCAGGAGGAGCTGGACCCGGCGCAACGCGCTGTCGATCAACCGAGCGCTGGGCTATGTCGCGGGTGTCGCGCCAACCAGCGCGGCAATGTCGCCACACGCTATGATCAGCTGTTCCTGCGCGGGTTTCAGCCGGCATCTTCATGGACGGGATGCGGCTGCTCGGCGGCGTCTATGCCAGCCCGCAGATCGACTTCCATCTGGTCGAGTTTGTCGATGTGGTGAAGGGCCCGGCAGGCGTCACCTATGGTTCGGGGACGCCGGCGGCCTGGTCAACCTGACCAGCAAGTTGCCTTATGGGGCTGGCGGGCGATCGAGCTGGCGACGGGCAATTTCGCGCTGCTGCGCTCGGCGATCGACGAACCAGCCGCTCGATGCCGAGGATCGCTGGCAGTTCCGGATCATCGCCGGCGCCGAGGAATCGGATGGCTTCATCCAGCAAACCGCCAATCGCCGTTACTATGCGCGCCCCCATGCTGCGCTTCGCCCCCGATGACGCGACCAGCGTGACCCTGATCCTGAACTATCAGCGCGATCCCGAATCCGCCTCCCCATAGCGGCGTGCCCGTCTATGGCTCGGTGCTGCCCAATCCGTTCGGGGTGCCCGGTCGACTTCAACACGTCCGAGCCCTCCTGGCGAGGCGTTCGACCGGACGCAGAAATCGGCGACGATCCTGTTCCGCCATGACCTGAACGACCGGCTGAGCTGACCACCAATGCGCGTTATCTGGCGATCGACCTGCATTACCGGCAAATCTACGGCTCGGGCTATGTGACGCGCGTGGCACGGGCGCCAATGCGAACAGCGACTTCTCGACGCTACAGCGCGGCGGCGGCGGTTCGGACGAGGCGTTCCAGACCTTCACCGTCGACAATCATCTGGTCGGCAAGATCGATACCGGTCCGGTCAACACACACCATCCTCGGCGGGGTCGACTGGCAGCATAATCGCGGCGAGAATTATCGCCTTCTACACCGGCGAGAATGCCAATCCGGTGTTCAACATCCCCAATCTGAACCTGTTCGCCCCTGGTTTACGGCGTGCCGCTGCCGACTTTCCTGATGAACCAGACCCACAATTACACCAAAGCGCGACCGGGTGGGCCTCTATCTTCAGGATCAGATCGCGATCGGTGGCCCGTAACTGATCGCCAGCGGTCGCTGGGACAGCTATGGCCAGACGACGCAGAATCTCGTCACCAACCGCGCGACGCGGCTGAACCAGACCGCCTTCACCACCTGGCTGGGCGCCTTGTACGAGACCCAAGTTCGGCCGGCGCCTTTGTCAGCTATTCGGAGAGTTTCGAGCCGCAGGCGGGCAGCACCGACGGCACAATTTCCGTGCCCCGTCACCGGCCGGCAGTATGAGGCGGGGTTGAAGATATCAGCCGCGGCACGATTCGCGCTGTTCACCCTGTCCGCCTTCGATCTGCGTCGCCGCAACGTTGCCGGTCGCCGATCCGCGCGCGGGCACAGGCAATATCCCCAGCAACTCGCAGGTGCAGACCGGCGAGGTATCGGTGCGCGGTATCGAGCTGACGGGCGCGGCACGGTGGCGCCAGGCTTGACGTGATCGTCGCCGACGACTTATAACGACCGCTGGTGCGGCGGCAGGGAACGCCGGTGGTCGGCACCGGCGACCAGCTGAGCGGCGTCACCGGCACCCGGCCGCTGGGCGTGCCGCAATGGAGCGCATCGAGCTTCCTGTCCTATGATCTCGGCAAGGCGGGTGTCGGCCCGTGCGCTGGGCGGCCTGAGCTTGGGAGCCGGTGTGCGCTATGTCGGCGACCGGACGGCACCGCGACGACCGGCGGCGGGGCACCGTCGTCCGCCGTTTCAGTCGCCTGATTATTGGCTGGCCGACCTGATGCTGGGCTATGATCTCGGCCGTGTCAGCCTGGCGATGGAGGGGGCTGAGCTTCACCGCGAATGTCGCCAATCTGTTCGACAAGCGGGCACATCACGAGCTGCTTCTTCAATAATGGCTGCACTATTACGGGGCATCGCGGACCTTTGTAGGCCTGCGCTATTCTTGGTGAGGGCGCATCCGATTCGATCTGTACATGACGTATCCGTCCCGCCTGCCGACCGATCGGCGGGGCGGGGCGCAAAAGAGTTTTGAGGTTTGTCGACCGATACTGCCTGCCCGAACTGACCCCGACCACGGCGCTGAGCGTCGAGACGGTTCCGAGCGTCCATCACTGGAACGAGCATCTGTTCTCCTTCTCGGTCTCGCGTCCCGACAGCTTCCGTTTTCCGCTCAGGCAGTTCGTGATGATCGGCCTGCTGGGCGACAACGGCAAGCCGCTGCTGCGCGCCTATTCGGTGGCCAGCCCCTCCTATGACGAGAAGCTCGATTTCTGTCGATCAAAGGTGCAGGACGGCCTGCTGACCAGCAAGCTGCAAAAGGCAGCCGGGCGACCAGATCTATCGGCCACCAAGCTGACCGGCACGCTGGTCGCCGACGCGCTGCCCCGGCAAGCGGTTGTTCAGCGTCGACCGGCACGGGCCTCGCCCTTCCTGTCGGTGACGCGCGATCCGGACGGCGATATGTTCGACGAAGTGATCATCGTCCACTCGGTCCGCCGGGTGAGGCGATCTGATTCCATGACGAACGGCGGGCAAGCGGCCGAGGATCCGCTGGTCGAGCGACGTCGGAGTAGGAGAACTATATCCCGACCATCACGCGCGAGCCGTTCCACACCTCGGCGCATCGACGCGCTGATCGATGATGGCGGTTGTTCGCCGGGCTGCCCAGCGCGCATGGCTTCAACCCGGAAACCGACCGGATCGCGATGTGGCAGCATGGAGATGATCAAGTCGCTGGGCGCCAAGTTCGAAGCGATGGGCTTCCCCGAAGGCTCGAATGCACAGCCGGGCGCCTATGTGATCGAAAAAGGCGTTCGCGGGCTGAATATCCACCCCGAAGGGGCAGGCCGCAGGCCTGACGGAGGGTGTTCCGCCGATCGCCGGGTCGATCGCTGGCGGTTATATTCCTGCCACGCTGCGTATGGTCCCCCTCCCCCCTATGGGGGAGGAAGTGCGGTCTCCCCGAACCGCTACATTTGTCGCCAGGGAACGGCACATTTGGTGCGACATTTGCGTCCTAACGCCCGGAGCCTGGTTTAAGGTAAAGGGACGGACGTGCGGCTGGGGCGGGCGATGCTGGCGAGCGCGATGCCGGCGATCGCGCAGCAGGTTGCACCTGCCCCCCACGCCGGCACCAGAGACTGGCGGCGCCCAGCGCGATGTCCCTGACGACGCAGGCCGTGCCCCAAGCGGCGGCGAGCGCGCCGCAGACCGCCAAGCCCGCCGCCCAAAGGAACCAGAAGAGGACGAAGGCGCGGAAGAGGGCGATGTCGTCGTCACCGCCAGCCCGGTACCGTCCCCGGCGATATCCTGCCGAGCAACAACTCAGCCCCGCCGATATCCGCTCCTACGGCGTGTCGAGCGTCGCCGACCACCTGCTGACGAACTTGCGCCGCAGCACGACCAGAAGGCGCGGTGGTTCGCCCGTCATCCTGCTCAACGGGCGACGCATTGCGGGTTTCAGGAAATTCGCGATCTGCCGACCGAGGCGATCCTGCGCGTCGACATCCCTGCCCGAGGAGGTCGCGCTCAAATATGGCTATAGCGCGCCGATCAGAAGGTGGTGAACTTCGTCTTGCGTCCGCGCTTCCGTTCGCTGGCGGCCGAGGCGATCGGGCGGCTGCCGACCGAGGGCGGCTCGGCGATGGGCAGGGGCGGCTCGACTGGCTGACCATCCGCCGTGACAAGCGGTTCAGCATCCACACCGATTATCAGGAAAGCTCCGTCTGACCGAGGCGGAGCGCGATATCGTCGCGCCCGGCAGCACGCGGCGCTGGGCGGTACATCGTCACCACCACCCCTGGCCTCGCCGCGCTGACCAGTACCAATCCCAGCGTGGTCGGCGTGCCGGGCGGGCTGGCCACGGCCCGACGCTCTCGGCGCTCGCCGCGACGCCGGCCAACAGCACCGACGTCACCCCTTACCGCACCTTGCAGAATGCGCAGCGCCAATGGACGCCAATATCGTCTATGCGCGCAACCTGTTCGGCTTAATGTCTCCGCCTCGTTCAACGCCGAGGTGCAGGCGACACAGAGCAACAGTTGGAACGGCCTGCCGTCGGCCAATCTGCAGCTGCCATCGGCAATCCCCAGGTATTCGCCCTTCGGCACCTCGGCGACGGTTGCGCGGCTCACCGATGCCTGCGGTCCGCTGACCCGAGACAATACCGGCCTGACCGCGCATTTCGGCACGGTGCTCAACGGACAGCTCAGCAGTAAATGGCGCTGGTCAGTGACGGGGGGCTATGACGTGCCGGAAAGCCGGGTGGCGACCGATACCGGGCTCGACATCGCGGCGTTCAGTGCGCGGTTGAATGCGGGTGATCGACCGCCAATCCTTTATGGGCCGCTGGATGGGATCGGGCTGGGCCCGCGCAATTTCGCGCGCTCGACACTCGTCGTGGGGCAGGTCGATGCGCTGCTCAACGGCCGTGTCTTCGCGCTGCCAGCGGGGGATGTGCAGGCCAGCGTCAAGGTCGGTGGCAGACCAGCGATTTTCGAGCCGCTCCTTCCGCTTCGGGCAGGAGCAGAGCGGCGACGTGTCGCGACACCGTCGGCGGCCAGCTCAATCTCAACCTGCCCATCGCCAATCGCGATCGCGCGGTGCTGGGGGCGATCGGTGACCTGTCGCTCAACGTCAATGCGGCCGCTAATCACCTGTCGGACTTCGGCACGCTGACCACCATCGGCTACATGGCGCTAACTGGCGCCGCTGGAGGGCGGTGGGTCATCGCGTCTGGACCGACTAGGAGGATGCACCGAGCGCGCAGCAACTGGGCAATCCGACAATCACCACCCCAATGTCCGCCTGTTCGACTATGTGCGTGCGGCACCACCGCGACGATCACCGCCGTGACGGGCGGTAACCCGGATCTCGTGGCCGACAAACCGCCATGTCATGAAGCTGGGGCTGACGCTGACGCCACCGCGACCGTCAGATCAACCTGACGGCCAATTACTATCATCGGCACCGACGATCCGATCGCCGCCTTCCCCACTCCGACGGCGGCGATCGAGGCGCTTCCCTGACCGTTTCACCGTGATGCCGCCGGCAATCTGCTGCGCGCGTCGATCTGCGCCGATCAATTTTCAGCGGACCGAGCGGCAGCAACTGCGCTGGGGGGCCAACTTCCAAGCCGATCAAGTCCAAGATCCAGAAGGAGATCGAGGCCTATCGCGCCGGCACCGGTCCCAATCCCTTTGCCGGGCTGAACTTCCCGACGGCGCGGCGATGGTCCGCGCGGGGAAGGCTGTGTGGCAACCCGGTCGACCGGATGGCGCGCCGGGTCCGGGCGGCGGGTTTCGGGGGCGCGGGGCGGGGTTGCGCGCGCTTTCCCCCAACCCGCGCCGCCGCGGGGACGGGGGCCGATGGCGGCCCCGGTCTCGTCCGCGCGGGGATCCACGGTGCCCCGGCGTGCGACCGTTAACCAGGCGGGATACGAAAACGGACCGTGCGATTTGGGGAACCCCCACCGACCCGCGTCAATGGCACGACCCCCATCCCCAAGCCCCGGGGTTGGACCCGCGACGGTCCCCCGGTTTCGCCATCTGGGGAAAAAGGCTGATTTTGGGGCGCATTGGGGGCGCGGTACCCGGGTCATGGGCGGAAAAGTTAACAGGCCAGCGGGTCCGACGACCGGAAAGGGGCGACGGTTCAGCCCGGATCCGACCGGGCAAAGGTTCGCCGCAAGCTGGATGGGGGGGAAAAATGGCCCCCGGCCGGGAAAGCAACGCGGTTTTGCCCCAAAAATTTTGGATGATTTTTCGGCAAAAAAAGGGTGGCCGGG